AAAAATAATTAATTTTCTTAATTTATTAAAATAAAAAATTAAAATATTTTTTATTATTATAAGAGTCAAATTAAAGATAACATTTACCATTTACTTTATTAATTATAATTAGTGGATATGAATTGATTTTCGAGAAAACTCTCAGCCAATAAGAGGATAACATTTTCCTTGATTCTTCTCATTTTTTATCCTTTCTACCATCTCTTCTCATTATACGTTACGTTAGCTCATTTTTACTTGTCATATTTGAATTTATATATTCATTAAAAAAATAATTTATAAGTTAAATAATTAATACTAAACAAATAATATAATTTTTTTAAAAAAAATTATTCTTAATATATGAAAATTGACAACAAAAATAAAAAATTTCGTTTTTAAATAATGGACAAGTAAAAGACGGATGAAGTATGTACTCCCTCCGACCCTTTTGACTTTTGAAATTTTGACTTGACACACCTCATAAGAAAATAATGATTGGTATAACGAGTTTATCATTTTACTCTTATTAATTGATAAAGTTTTAAACATATTTACTTTTTATATTAATTTAATGTTAATAAATTAAAGATATAATAGGAGAAAAAGAATTTTTTCTTGATTCGTCAAATATATTTGATAAATAAATAGAAACGGAGAAATATCTATGAAATTTTATGCCAAAATGGAACAGGGAAAAACGGAAGTGGACCAAAGCCCACATCCTATGATACCTATGGCAAATAGAAAAGTGAGGTTCATCATACTCTTCAATGACAGGGCATGATTTGTAATTAAGTAAAAAAGATTGGACTTTTCTTAAAGCTCTTGCTGGGTATAAAAAACAAAGCAAGAAATACAATTTTTTGAAGCAAGTTTATCTTGCAAAATCTTTTGTAGGACTTTAATAACATTTATGGCAAATAGTGTAATTTTTACTATGAAGTAGGTTTAAGTTAGCAAATTCAAAAAGTATAGTTACAAAAACGTGAATAATTGCATAATATAACAATAAAACATAAAAAAGTCAAAATAATTCCACTCTTATCAAGACAAGCTAACTAATGGAAAAAATAAACAGCAACAAAAAAGGAGAGAATACAATTAATCATTCTCTGATTCGATCCATATGCATGATCTTGGTCGAACTAAGTGGAAAATATTTGGACTTGAATAAGGTTTAAGGCCAAAGTAATCGAAAGAATAATATTTGCGATTGACCAAACAATAGAAAACACCTTTGTTGTTGTTGTGAAACATTGGAAAATATATCTTGTTTTCTAGGCCAGGTGCAACACATGTTTTCAAGCATGATCCTCCAGAGCTCACAAACAATGTTTTATTATCGTCTAAACTTGTTATTATTTCCCTCTCCAACACTTTTCCATTCATTTTGTACTTCCAAACCTCTACTACATCCCCTTCATGGTGAGATAGAAAAACAGCTAACATTCCTTCATTGTCGACATCTTCTACCGTGTAAACTTGTCGGATTGACTTTTGTTTTCGACTCCTAAAGTAGCTCCCATAAAATTCCCAACTAGGAATTGAGTTTTCGTTGATGGTTAGTATTCCCAAATTTCCTTTATCTCCAAGTACGTAGATAGTATTGTTGTTGAAAAATATGGGGTTATTACATCCGGTTGAACTAAAATATAGGTTATAGTCATCGTCATAGTCATCGTAGAAGTTATAATATGTCCATGTATTGTCTCCAACCTTGATGATGTATACTATTGGGGGATTACCAATATACTGAAAACCAACAACAAAGCAAGCAGATGACAATGAGTCGGGAGGGCATGAAAAAGTCCAAGAAGAGAAAGAATTCTCATTCTGTTGTTGTAGATCAGGGAGTTCAATTATGTCATTACTAATAGGATTGAAAAAAAACATGCCGCGGTTACCCTGACTCATGAGTAACCAATTAGCTTTTGAACTTCGAATTCGGGAACCCCTTAATTTCAAGATTGGGATAGACGTAGTCGTCACAACATTGTACACGGGATGAAAGAATTCTACAATTCCGGTATTTCCACGCAAGGTGATCAAACAAGGCGATTTTTCTGGTTGACAAGGACGAGGTGGAGGTATCATGGGTGCGTAGCGCCATCTTTTACAAACTGCACGAAAAATAAAGTATTCTCCAGCAACCAGACGTGATGATATTAATCCTACTATGTCCGATGGAATACAAGACCACAATGCATCGTCCATTGTCTGTCGGTGAGAAAAAAAATTAGTTTGTGAAAGTTATAGACTTGTCATTACCCTATTTATTTAAATTAGAACAAGAATTGCGTTAGTTCTGTTCTTATTCAAATAAAAGTTGTCCTTTTCTTTAACGTATTTGAACTAATTCAAATAGAAATATAATAGGCAATGTTTTTTATTTATGGAAAAGGAAGGAAATTTTTTTTATTTGTCCAAGATTTATTCTAATTTATTTTCCTTGTGGTATTTGAACTCATTAATCATTATTTAATATAAAGTTAGATTCTTTAACCACATATTATTACAATTATCGTTGTCAGTACCTCGAAAACAAAACAGAGTTTTGCCATGGGTAAAAAACTTCCTTAGGTTTTTTTTTCTTCTGTCTTACAGATACAAATTTGAAATGGAAATTAATTTTCTCTAAAAGGTCTAATTATTTGTGTTTCTATTTTTCGCAGAGATGAAGTTGGAAGAATACAACAAAAAAAAGAATATGGAATCTGCTCAACCTCCGTATTCTGCACAACATCCTTGGCTTGTTATTTGTTTTGGAGGGGAACTAGAAAATCAGACTTTTTTCAGTGTATCAGAAGATCGATATTATATAAGACGTATTCCTGAACTTAAAGATAAATTTATACGTGCTTATGCTGATGAGTGGCTCTTGTTAGAAAGTATTTATTCTAGTGATTGTTATCTTTGGAATCTTATTTCAAACGATAAAATTCAGCTACCGCCACTTCCTACTGAGTGCGAAATAATGATGTGCCTCTTGTCTGCACCACCCCATGATCCTGAATGTCAAATTCTCTTTCTAATTAAAGAGACTGAGAATGTGGATGAGGACGAGGATGAAAACGACGAGGATGTGGATCTGCATGATGAGAATGATGTGGATGATGAGAATGATGATGAGAACGATGAGGATGATGAGAATGATGATGAGAACGACGAGGATGTGAATCCGCCTACTCTTTACTTTTGCAAGCCAGGTTATAATGAAGCATTGTGTTACAAAGCATTAATTCTAATGATTGTTACCTTTGGAATCTTATTTCAAACGAAAAAATTCAACTCCCACCACTTCCTGCTAAGTGCGACATATTAAACTGCCTCTTGTCTGCACCACCTCATGATCCCGAATGTCAAGTTATCTTCCAAATTGAGACTACTCTGGATGATGATGACACTAATGAGGATGAGGATGAGCATGAGAATGACAACTCTGATGAGCATGAGAATGACAACTCTGATGAGAACTCAGATGGGGATGAGAACTCTGATGCGGATGGGGATGCAGACTCTATTAATGAGGATGAAAACGATGATGACGATGAGGATGAGAATGAGAATTTGCTTACTTTTTACTTCTGCAAACCAGGTTATAATGAAGAATTTCATAAACAAGATGTCCAATCAATTATTGGAGATTGGCGTCTTGGAATCTGGACCGTTTTCAAGAGAAAATTTTATATATTAATCGGGATGCAAAATATTCTAACTTGTTTGGATATAGATAATGATTCAGGAAGAATAACAGCTACACCAATGGATAACGAATCTCCAGATCTGTTGAAATCATATCATCCTTTTTATAAGGATTACCTCATTCAATCCTCTTCTAACGATATGTTGTTATATATTCACTTGATTGGTAACGGAAGAGAGTTTGAAATGCCATACCACTTTCAAGTATTTCAATTTGATTTTATAAGAGGAAGATGGATAAAAGCGGAAAGCATTGGAGAAATAGCAATTTTTATAAGTTTCCCTTTGAAGACGGGCACAGCTTGTTCGACAAAAGACACAAATCTTAACAAAGAGTGCATCTACTTCACCTACGGTCGTCATCTCTACATCTACAACTGGATAACACATAGCATATAATTATCCCTCCCTTGCCCACCTGTTAGCAAGACAAAGGATCACCACATGCACTAGGTTTAACATTAAATTAGTAAATGTTTAATTAGCATTTTGTTTGTATACAATAAATGTTTAGTGCTATTTGATATGGTTTTCGTTGATTTGCATCAGGTTAACTTTCTATGATTATTTTCTCTCTTCTTATTCATTATTTCTCGTTTTTGCCTTTGTAAATTATTTCTTACTGAAAAATATACATAAACTGGTCATTATTTCTTTCACAAACTAACTAATTAAACAACTTTTAACTTCATGATTAATTTGTATTCTGAAACCCTCTTTTAAACGTACAATATATAAGAAAGTTAACACGTAACCTAACTCACTAAATTGTTATTTTCCTCATTTAGGTTTTCATTCTTTCTTTTATTTTAGTGTTTTATTTTCCTTGTACCAACATCTTGAGAAAATATTGGAAAACTTTCTTAAATGCATAGCAAACATAACCTCATATGAAAAAAAGTTAACTGTTCACCTAACTCAATATCAAAAGATAGCTCATGTGTAGTCACAAGTGATCAAACAAGGCGATTTTTCCTGTTGACAAGGACTAAGAGGAGATGTCACAAGTGGGTAGCTCTAGCTTTTACAAATGACAAGGAAAATAAAGTATTCAACAGTAATAAGACATTATGAATGATTAAGACATAATGTTCCTGAGTCATAACTAATTTCAATACTAACTAATAAAGGGTAAAATTAGAAGAACATTCTAAAAATAGACTTGAAGATTGAACATTTAAGTTAATTTGAAAAATAAAAAATGTCTCAAACAATTTAATTAATTTGAAATGAAGAGAGTACTGAGTTCAGACCTCTATATTTAAATATTTTTTTTAAAAAATATAACACTACTATATATAATCTAAAGAGGGAAACATGTATTCACGTGAACCTAAGCCAGCTAGCTTCACCATCATGGTGGACCTTTTGATTAAAATAGAAATGGTATATTATTTGACAGAGAAGTATTTATTTTTTATATTTATATAGTGGAGCAACACCATTAGGATCCTGGTTGCTACGGACTGTCACTTGGGCTATATGGAGAAGGATGAAGTACGTAGGCATGATTCATTTCAGGCATTTGAAGAGATATGTTCAATCGCGGAGAAAAAACAGGCAAAAATGATTTCTCTTCTCTACTTGGTTTGGCAAATTGCTTTTATCTATTGGCGGAGTTAACATCTCACTCCCTTGTCATTTGTTGGAATCTAGTGAATACTTGAGAGGATTTGTTTCTTCCCATGAGTTGCTGTTCCAGAGAAACATGAAAGCATGCAAGTCAGACCAGTAGGATAACTTGGAACGGCAGGTGCTTTCATGATTTTGTCTCTTCATCTTTCCCAATTCCCATACTCGAGATTTTATTTTATTTTTAGAATGGTAACTTGAGTATTAAAGAAAAAAGGCACTAGGATAGTGCCAAAACCATAAATACAGAGTCAGAGAGAAAGGACAGCAGATCCTAATGCTTTTCAATTCCATTTTTTCATTGTATTGTTCCCCTTGTGATATTCAAAGTATTTTGGTGGCATGAGTGAAGCCCACTTTGTGCTTTTTCAAGGGCAGGTGAGATCGTGTTGGTTGTTTCTGATTGCAATGATGAGTGGTGGAGATAAGATGGGGGCATGCTGTAATAAGCTTAGTTGCGCGGACTCTTCAATTTTGATGCCGCACCCTTCTCGGATTCTTCAAAAATACATTACTTTTGGCAAATCCGACACACACCCGTTGACATTTTTGAAGAGTCCGAGCAACATAGGTAATAAGTGATTGTTTATAGAGGTCGAGGCGTTCAGTGGCGGATCCATAAATTTTATTTCATGGGTGCTCAATTATTTTTAGTTTGAGAATTGCTATATATAGTGGGTGCTTAGTTAATACATTTGAATGAATTATTAAATATTACAAACAAATATTAGTGGTTATTGGAAAAGGCCATGGGTGCTTAAGCACCTATAATCCATAACATACATCCGCCACTGGAGGCGTTGGATGGTGGCTAAAATTGGCTGTGGTTAAGTGACAGTTGTGGGAAACAAGCGACTGTGATCTATCGTTGAGAATAGTTTCCAGGAGCAGTATGAGGCAAGCGATGGTGGTTGGAGGAAGTAGGAGAAAATGTCGTGTCCTTGAAAGACCTAAAAACCATTGCATGTTCTGGTGTATTGTCTTTCCTAGTTGGAGAATGTTTGCCTTAAGTTTAGACAACTAAAGACATGAATTTTTGGAAAACGGTTTTCTAAAAACTAACCTGCGTCTTGACTCTTGCCTGTAGATTATGTTATATTGTACATAGATTAGTGTTTGTGTCTACATTGAATAATAGTTTATCTCTATATTCAAATTTCATTTGTCAGTTATTATGTACACATGTATTCGTATCACTTATATTGATTTTACTTTGGCGCTCCAGGTGACTTTGTGCTTCTTGGTGGTGATCTGTTTCATGAGAATAAGCCATCCAGGGCAACACTGGTGAAAGCCATTGAAATTCTTCGCCGCTATTGTCTCAATGATCAACCGGTGCAATTCCAAGTTGTTAGTGACCAGACAGTGAACTTTGCTAACCTGTAATAACCATTTATCTGAACTCTGCTAACTTGTTATCGCTATTCTTCCTGTATTGTCAATTTGTCATGCTTTACCTCTTTTTCTTCATTTCTTTTTGTTATTTTCATTGATAAGTATGAAAACTACTTATATGCTTTGTTGTGGAAAAGTAATTGAAGCTTTTGAAACAATAATCTTATGCTCGACTTGCTCTATGTTCTATCAGGGGATTTTCCTGTTAAGTAGTTTATCTCAAATTCTTCTTTTTTCCTTTGCTCCCCCTTTTCTATGCTCTATCTGAAGATTTTCCTGCAAAGTTATCTGAAGTTGTGATTACATTTAATTCTCCCCTTTAAGTTACTTTACGTTTACTTCTTTGTTAGCATAATATTTCTCTTCTTCTCTTTTTAATCTTTTGTGGGTCTTATTTAGATTTGGTCATGTAAATTATGAAGATCCTCACTTTAATGTGGGGTTGCCTGTTTTCAGCATTTATGGCAATCACGATGATCCAGCTGGTGTGGTATGAACCCATGAAAGTTTATTTTACTTTTTCTTTTCATGGAACAGCAGGATGGACTATTTGTGATCATACCTTTGCCTGTTGGTGTGCAATGTTATCTTCTTAAAAATTAATTATGAAATAGCAAATCAACTTTGCTCCGAAGATGGCTTGTAGTTATTCATCCTCCTTTGCAGGGAATTAATGTATAGCTGAAAAGCTAGATGCTAATTTTGTTAAAATACTAATGAGAATGTACAAAAAACAACAAGAAACAATAACTACAGAAAAATAATTTGTTTTTTTCGTCTAAGAATGCTATCTGTTCGTGCATTTAAGGTGGACAATATTGGGCTTCAGCTACTCCTGTTGCAGAAAATGAAGTTGTTGAAATGTTAAGATGGAAATAACTGGGGTCCTTGAAAGTTACTCACGAGTTGCTTATGTGTAATAATTCATCACTGTGAATGGCGAACCTTATTCTTTTCAATCTCTAATTTCATATAGGTGCTTTAGATTTTACAAGTTTTCTCTCAGACGAATTTGGGTTTTGCCCCCTAGGGTGTGGTTTGGATGCTTGCTATAACTCCGCCTCGCATATTAATTGTGCGAGAACAAGTATGCCTCAATTCCAAACAAGTTGGGGATTGCTTTATCAATCCTGACTGGCCATGTTTTACCCTTTTTCTAGTTCATAATTGAATGTCATTAGGTTGTGTCATTATGAAAATTGTTAAGGCTTAAAAGAAAATCTTTAATTGGATATGGAGAAGTGATGGTAAGTGCAAGGAAGTGTCAAAGTGAGCCTGCATGACTTTGTCTTATAGAATATTCATTGAAGATCCTTGTTTAGGAATGGAATAAAAAGGGAAGATGGATATCCGATTTTGCAGGGAAGGTTTAGTATTGATTATTTTAAGACCCAACTTGTCTGCGTCTTTGTTCTAATGAACTCAAACAACTCTTACTTTGTTGTTTCCAGATAAAGCTAATGTTTAGGTGGACACCAGCGTTATTTCTGGACTAGCATTTAGAAATTATTCTTATGGATCAGCTATCCAGAAAACTTAATCGGAAAAGTTGAATACCAACTTACCATTTTCTTTCTTACGTGCTGATCTGGAGTTACTATTGTCCACCTATGTTACAGGACAACCTATCTGCAGTTGACATCCTTTCGGCATGCAATCTTGTCAACTATTTTGGTAAAATGGATCTCGGTGGTTCTGGTGTTGGACAGATCGCTCTGCACCCTATTCTTATCAGGAAGGTCTGCTTGTGGATATCTTCAATAAGAGGCTTCTGTGTTTGAAGCATGGATTTATATCTCACTACATGTTTTGCAGGGTTTACCATCAGTTGCTCTTTATGGTCTTGGGAATATCAGAGATGAACGGTTGAATAGAATGTTTCAAGTATTAATTCTCCTTCTTTTTCAGATCTGTCTGGCTGCTTGACAAGAACAGATTTTAATTGTGTTTCTTTTGGTACTTGAAGACACCACATGCTGTGCAATGGATGCGACCTGAGGCTCGGGAAGGGTGTCAAGTATCAGACTGGTTCAACATTTTGGTACTTCACCAAAATAGGTTGGTTTAGACTTTAGATAGTGATGATAATAGTTGAAGATCTCTTAACTTAACCTATTTAAGATCTGTGCTAAGATTTAGGTATGGGTTTTCACATTACTCAGCCAGGTTCATCTGTTGCGACATCACTGATTGAGGGTGAATCAAAACAAAAACATGTACTTCTATTAGAAATTAAGGTTGTACTTCACGAATTCCATCTTTAACTCTTTTTCCTGTGCTATTCATGCTTTTATATTTGAGTAATAGTTTTTTTGTCTTTGTTGGGATGTGAACCCTGGTCTCCAAGGCTTGTACCCCCACACTTCATGGAGCACTAGGACAAACCCTTGGTTGCATGGTGGGGACATATACTTTCAACTCAACGACAACATAACCAGTGTGATCTCGTAAGTGTGGTTAGCCTTTTTTCAATTGGGGAAAGATAGGTTGTTCACTATCTTAAAAGGGGAGATAGTGCAGTCCAGGTCAACACATGTAAAGATGGCTTTCAAGTCTGGCCCTTAAGGTCCATTCATGATTGATCACTACACAGGTCAGAGTGACACGAAAATTTGCACACGAAAATGTGTTGAATGTATATGAGACATAAAACAGCTGCATTTTGAACACATTAGAAGCTTCAATGCTGGTACTACAAAACATCATATGGAAGATCAAATGACCACAGTAATGAGGCTAGGGAGAAATATATCAAATTATTCCTTACACATATATCTAAAAACTTATTTCTTTGACTATAGTATTCAATTTTATCTCAGCACGTAGACTACTGATATGATGATCTTGTGAGTAGTTTGAAAAAGAGAAATACAAAAATAGAGAAAACATAACAAATAATTGGAAAACCATTACATAACATTTAGAAAACAAGGAATAGTAATAATTGCTAAATAATGCGATAACTAAAGCATACAAAACAATGTAATTTGGACATTTACATCTTTTTTTCAAATATATTTACATCTTTTTTTCTTGTCTGCCGGCGGTTTGATTTTATGTGTTATCAGTTCCATTTATAGATTTTCGGTTTTTTAATGTGTTTAACTAATAATCAAATCAATAAAATATTTTTTGTAGATTTTGGTTAGGTTCAGTTTCTGATTTAACCAATTAAAAACTGCTAATAAAATAAATATATGATGTTTTCAACAATTTGACACGAATCACGATAGGATTATAATGTACATAACTTTACATAATGTATAATAATAACTAGTAAGGCACTGATATTAATATTTAATATATATTTAGGAGAAAAATAATAAATTATTACGGTCTTTATGGGGTATTGAGTATATAGAAAAAAATCCAAGCCAAACTGATCATTCGATAATTTTTTCATATAAAATTATTAAAAGCCAAATTGATACAATATTCCAGGACATATACGACTTCTTTAATTAAGCTGTCAATCTTATTTTATTTTGGCAAAAATATTGTATATATGATCCAAATTAAAGCAATTTTTGGTCCCCTTTGTATCTCATTAGAATTTAGAATTTATCCCATCGATTTTATAAATTATGCTAAATAATATATTTTATTTATAGAATTAAGTAAGTGTAAAGATGAAAAATATTTGATACTAAACAAATCAAACTAATAACTTAACAAATTAAATTGAATATCATATTAATATTTCAATATATTCCAATGGTAGCAGAAAGTAAAGAAAGCAAAGATGGTTTAGGGAATAGGTAAGAAGTTAGATTGAACTTTTAAACTTCACTTTTTTTTTTACCGTTGAGTGAAGGTGAGGTGAAAATAATACTAATAAACCTTTAACCAAAAATAATTAATTATATACAAATAAACGGGTCTTAAACTCCACTTTAAAAAAATATACTCCTATTTTTATCTAAAAAATGACTTAATTTAATTTAACAATTTCTTTTTGTTTGCTACCAGTGTCTAAAGCCAGCATTAGAGCCCCAATTAAATTTGGATCGCGCTATGTAAAACCTATTTGGTGCGGCGTTTTCAATATGATTTTCTCTATGCCCTAGACTCGAATTTGAGATCTCTAGTTAGTGAAATAGTCCCATTACTGCACCACAAGTCCACAACCCATATTGGTAAAATATATTTTTAAAAAAGGAGATGCGAGGTAACTTAACAAAATTTAAAACAATAAAGAAAACATTTTTAATTTTATGATATTAAATTAAATTTATGACTTATGTCAAACTAGTTTAAAAAGTCTGTGCAAGTACTGATTCAATATATATTACGTTATTTATTTTAATTTACATGGCAAAGCTGAAATAAAGAAAGTCTACTGAATTTCTATGTGATTTTTAAATACTTTAAGATGTTTATTCTTATACTTTATAATACTTTTAATGTAATTTTAAAAAATATATCACTTCTCTTTGGAGGAACCAACTAGTTGAGGGAGCTACTTGGGAAGCCGAAGAGGACATGAAGAAGAGATATCCCCATCTCTTTGAATCCGGAGGAAATGCAGATTAAGGTATTAAATTCCTTCTTAGTGCTCCTTGAATTATATTGAGCATGTTATTGTTGTTGTTGTTTGCATGGTTGATTATAGAGTGTTTGAATTGATGTTACACTCTTAGCACTGTAAAAGTAACCTCATTCGAGGACGAATGTTCCCAAGGGGGAGATATTGTAACATCCGACAATTTGAAATAGCTAAGAAGAGGCTTAGAATTTGAAATTTTTCATTTTTGGAAAGGATTTGAAAAATCTGGAAAATTGGCTAAGTGTGGAAATCAGTGGTTTTTGGCCAACTTTGAGCAGTCATAACTTCCAGCTCAGGATGAGTTAGGAGTAGTTCCAGTTATGGTTGTGAAGCTTGTGGAATGATCTTTCCAACGCCGCCGAGTTTGCTCAATTCCGAGTTCGTATGAGCGAGTTATGGCCCTTTGAAAGTTGGGCAGTTGACA